AGCTCCAGTGCTGCTCCGTGCTGTGAACTGTCACCTTCCTGAGGGTGGCAAGGGCGGGAGGTGTGCGCAGAGGGTACTGCGTGTCTCCTGGCAGTAAGGGGGCTGGTGAACCAGAGCCAGCCTGCCTGCTCCCCTGCCAGTGGGGACGGAACCTGAGCTGCCTGCATTGCCCTCTCCCTGTCAGTGCGGGGTGCCCTCAGGTTTAGGGAGAGACCGAGAGGTGGACTGGTGAGCACCTGTAAAAAAAAAGGCCAAGCCAAACTGCCTGGAGGTGGGATTTGCCTGGGGTATATTAAGTCAGTCTTGGCACCACTTGGCTTTGAGACATGTTTCATAAAACTGTAGGTGAGAGCAGATCTCAAGCAGAGGGATGCCTTGTTTCCACCAGCCTGGCTGGGGAGGCTAGTACTTTATGGGAACAGCTGTAGGTTTGCCTCCAACTTTGCATTCTTGGGTTTCACCCAAAAGTTAGAAAAGCATTTTTTTTTCTCTTGTTCCTCAGTGCTTAAGTGTGCCAGGTAGTCAGAGGCCCAAGTGTGCCTTCTGTTTTTTTCAGGAACAACACTGAACCTGTTGAAATTTCCAATTATTAATCCTACATGTGACAGGATATTCCGAAGGCAGGAGAGGCTGAAAGAGGAGGCAGCAAAAACAGATGATCAGCTAAGCAGTGAAGAAAAGAAGTACCTTAATCACCTTAAAAAGCAAGGTTACTTCGTGGGTGAGTATTGCCTGAGTAAAGGTGTTGCCTCTCTGCCCCAATGAAAATACTGCATTACACAAAGAACTATTAACTCCTTAATTTGCTGTAGAATCTAGCTGGTTTTGGCACATAATTTCTTCCCACACTGAAAGAACTAATTTCCATTTAATTATGGGAAGGACATGCTATCTGTAGTAGCAGTAAAAACTTTCCAAACTTGTATTCAGGTTATTTTGAGCAGTTTTTGTTCTTGAGTGCAAGACTTCTAGGTCTTCCCTTAGTAGCATCATTAGTGTTTCTTTCAAGTACTTGTTTTTCAGCTGTAGTAGCACTGCAGAGGTTTCTCTGTGCAGTGCACCTCCCATCAGCGTTTGCTGTCCTAGTTCAGAGCTCGGTAGTTTGCAGTGATACTGCATTGTGGGCCATCTCTCATTCCCAAAGGAAGAAAACAAGTTTCGTTAGGGAAATAAAGGAGTGTCTGTGATCTAGTCCCTGCTAACGTTTAGGGCCTCAAGGAGTGCTAAGCAAGAATTATAGAAGGGATTTCTTAGCATCTGGGCTTTTAAACATACAAATTTCTAGCATCTTTATAACCTTTATATTGCCAATGCACATCTCTCTGAAGCAAGGGAAGGGACAGATGTCCAGGTGAAGGATGGGCAAGTTAATAAGTTAATTACCAGGAAACCTTTCATTTTAATCCAGGAAGAGTTGGAAGAACATTTCAGCGGCAGAAGTCTAACACTGTGGTTGATTTTGACCCTGACATGCTCTCCTACAGCATAGATGAAGATCCCAGACATTCCCCTAGGAAGTGTGAGGAAAGGGAGGAGTTCACATACAACGAAGTGAAGGATGCTCGCTGGTGTTTCGACACTCCAGGGATTGTAAAGGAAAACTGTGTAGGTATTCTGGTGCTGTGCTTCGGGATGGTGGGGTTTGGGAAGGCTGTTCTGCCTTAGCTGTGCATGTGGAAGAGTATTTCTGCTGCAGTCCCGGGGTTGGGATTCTTTTGGTTTGGGCAATTGTGTCAAAGCATGGTTTGTATTTACTTGGGTGGGCTTCACTGTGTTAACGCTGCTGCGTTCCTGAGCAGTGCGTGCTGCCATCTTTGCAAAGGAACCGAGTGACTGCGCCGTCAAACTTCGTAACGTCTGAATGCAGGGAAGTGCTGTAGGCATCGCCCAATTAAATGTGCACTTTTATAGCTCTAGCAGCCTACTGAAAAAGGTCGAGCTCAGGAGGATAACCAGTGTTATGTGACCGAGCCAAATCTTTGAGAAAGCATTATCCTGAAGCTAACGGGATCTACGGGGTTCCTGTTAATGGCTCCAATGTGTCAGGCCTACCTCAGTGTTTCAGTAGAGCAAAGGCTCTGAAGCCAGTGCTGATGTAGTGCACACATCCAAAAACGTCGTGCTTTGATTATTTATGGCTTTGGTATCTATGCAGGTCATCTCTTTGCAAAGGATGACCTAAGGAAGTACAGGGAGATAGAAAAGTTCTGAAGAGAACTAGTTAGGAGCAGGGTTGTTGTTTGTTTTGTTTTTTTTTTTTTATTTTAGAAGAAGAGTGAAGGAAAGTGGCTGTTAGCATGTGGGGGAATTAAATATTTGTTTATTAAATATTAAGGTTTGTTTTTAGCTGCTTCCTCATGACTCCTTCCAAAGCCAAACTTCTGGAAAGCCTAGAAAAGGATTACTGATAACTCAGATTTTGGTTTAAACATTGCCAAATACATCAGAAAACCTGCAGCTAGCAGAGCTAGCTAGACCCTGCATTGGCATGGATATTGATGACATCCCTGTCTCCTCCTATTTCTCACTGTGTGGACCAGAATTGAACTGTTCTGTTAGATGTTCTTCACACTGCTTTACCTTTTTCCTCTTTCAATATAATACCACTATTAATATCATTGTCCTCATTGAAACATCTGGAATGAGTTATGGCAGTATGATTTCTTTTTCAGGTTTTAAATCTCCTGACAGAGAAAGAAGTAAAGCTGGTTTTGCCAACACATGCCATTGTTCCACGGACCTTCATTCTCAAGCCAGGAATGGTCTTGTTTTTAGCAGCCTTGGGACGTGTGGACTACTTAGAGGTAAGAGAAAAAAGGATTTTGTGAGCAGCTGCTTTATCTCTTGTTATGGTACCAGACAATAAAAAGCTTTCTGGGTAGTTTTCCCAGACAAAGCCTTTCTTTGCTGCTTTTGAGATGATGAATCTGTTAATAAACCACTGCATAAAGTAGAAATGCCCTGAGATATGGGGAGTTTCAGCTGACAGGTTTGATACTTGTTACCAGTGTGCAATATTTTATACTGTGTAATGGTAACTGCTTTTGAATGCTGACAGATGCCTTCACCTTGATGTGCTTCCCATAACATACAGAGGCAGAAGGCAGGGAGGGAGGTAGAGTGCCAGAATTAACTGGGAAAAGAGATATTTTTCCTCATTTCTGCATTTCATTAAAGCTGTCTGCCAAGAGAGAAAAGCATGGGTGTTTTTCTTTCATGACACAGACCTCTCTGAAGAATTTGCCCAAGGAAGCAATTAAATGTGCATGTATTTTAGTTTCTGTAAAAATATTTTTTAAAGGTGCTGTGTGCCCCTCCCACCTTCCCACGCTAATTTCTTGCATTTATTAGAAATCCCATTTCACACACCTTTATCGAGCTGTGTGGAGCTGACCTCCTGTGATGTTACCTCTGGAAGGAGTGATTCCTTCCAGATGTGTGTCTAACACTTATGATCATGACTTTCTCAGTAGTTTGTCCCATTTTAGGAAGGACGTGTGCATGGCTATTCCTTTGTTTCAGTCAGCTTTCCAAGGTCACCATGGAAATGTTGAATTGGTAATTTGCTGACCTTGACCTGCTGGAAGAAAACCAGAAAGGGGTGGGGGGACAGGACAGGATTCTGTAAGTAACAGTATACCAGTAGGGCAGGAGAGCTCCATCCTACTTAAGATAGGAATCCAGAGCCCCAGCCTGAGAAGCAGCTTGGCAGTACAGAGGAGTAATCTCTCACTCAGAAAAAATGCTCTTTGTGAGGAAAGCAGAAAAAAAACCTCCCTTTATCCATACTGTCTTGGGCAAAGCTCTCAGAAAAGAACTAGGCATGTTGCTTGGGCACTGGAGAAAGCACCTGGATTTGCATCCCTGACAAAACAGGACAGTGATTTGGTGAAATTTTGGCTGGCAGTGAACACCCACTGCAGAAATGCTGCAAGATAAGGCCAGCCTGCAAACGTGGACGAGGCCTTTCCCACGATGAAGAGGATGGATAGGGCAGGCAGTCCAGCCAGAGGGCTTGTTTTGTCATAAGGGATGACTTTTGTTCTTGGGAGCTGTGGAGAATGTGGCTGGTGTTGGCAGCCTGGGGAACTTCAGGTTGGGGTAAAGAAGTGTCACACCATCTCCTGAAGAGAGGATCAGGCTCAGAGACATGTCCAGTGCAGCAGGGCTGGCAGTCATGCTTCGTGCTATAAGCTTGTTCTCCATGTAGTGGTGCTCCTAGCAAGCTCAGCTGTGCACATTTAGAGCCCCACAGGTCCTTGGTATCTGTCTCAGCCCATTGTGTATCTGCATCTTCCAGAGACCTTGAAGGAAGACAGCTGTGCTCAGACCGTGATAGTGGGAGCGCCTGGCTCAGATTAGATCTGTGAGGAACTTGAAGGAAGTGCTGCACTTGGGTTTCCTTATTGCAGGCTGCTAGCAGCGTTTGTAGCAGTCTGTCCCCTCTCTAACCTTGTTTGCTTTGTGTGCAGAAGTTATGAGAGTGCCTGCTGAAATTGCTCCAAGTTCAGTCTTTTCGTAGCTTGAGAGCAGCTTGTAACCAAGTATGGCTCAATGAGAGATGCATGTTAGAAGTGTAAAGTGATAGAAGAAGCACGAGACGGGAGATGCCCATCACCTCTCATGCTAAATAGCCACCCTGAGTTTGTTCTTGGGAATTAAACTTGAGCAAAGATATCTCTTGGATGATTTGCCTGTGCTGAGCAGATGTGATGGCAGGGGATGTGGTATTGGGGGTGCTTCGAGGCAGGATGCTGAAGCCACGGGTGTTTCTCTCCTGGAACCTCAATTGGCCTGTTTATATAAATGCTGGCTGCTCTGCAGTGACAGAGGCAAGGGCCCTCCTTGGACAAGGGAGGGGACATTAGTCAGATGGGTTTTCAACATGCAGGAAAAGAAACAGAGCAGGAGAGAGCAATTCAGGGCTGCTTTTCTTTTATAAGTAACATCCTCTTGGTATTTATTCCAGGGAAAAAAGCCTGCCTGGTTTTCTGTTGTGGCTTCTAACCTGTTGCCAGTCCGCATTGCTACCTTGAGTAACGCAGATGCCATCTACGAGGAGCATGCTGGCCAAGAGTTTCTAAAGGTAAGAGGAGGTGCTGTCATGGGCTCTTGGTTGGAGACAGGCAGGTCACACTGCCTGGTGAAGTGCCCTGGCTGGGCAACAATTGATGCGGAAAATCAGACCATGTCAGGAGTCTGGGACTTCTGCAGTGGGAGAGTGGAGATCTGCAGTGTGGAGCAGTCTTGTGCAGCTGTGTTAGGAGAGGGCCCCTGAGAGGATGCATTTTCAGTGGAGCTTCTGTTTCTAGCATTCAGGCTGATAAGATTTGCAGTGCTTTGCTCTCTAATGCTTGGCTTTTCTTAAATACCCTTAAAGCGCAGGCAGCGATGGGGATATTTTCCATTGCAAACTTCAGACTGGGGTTTCAGAACACACTGCAGTTGAAAAATGTACCTTTCTCCTTCTTTCCCTGCTGGATCCTCTGCACAGCCCTGCATCTTTTGGTGGTCTGACTTTTTCCTTGGTATTGCCACATACTGTGTAGCACTGGGAGATTGATGGGGAATGGGGTGAGCTGTCCTTGTTTGGGCAGTTCCCTTCCTGCGCACATTGGAACAAGTGCTGTCACTCACATCACCAGCTGGGCCTGTACTGGGCACTCCATAACCCCTGTAGGGTATTCAAGCCAGATCTTACTTGGATAACAACAGTCTAATATCTTTATTCCCATTTGTGCCTTGCTCGCCAGTTTAAGGTAGGAGTGCTGAAGTTTGGGAGTGCTTGACTCTTAAATCTTTTCTCCATATTTTGATGTTAGGTTCCCATGGGTGGGGAAGAGCGAATGAAAGAGTTCCCCCCGCTTGTCCCTCAAGACATTACACTGAAAGGAATTGGTACCAGTGAGGCAGTTGCAGATATCAAGCTTTCCTCTGCAGGTAATTTAATATTTCTTCATTAGTTTGCTTTGCAGGGTCTATATCCTAGAAACGTTGATGGGAAGAGGTTTCTGAAGGGATGAAACCATATTTCCTGCTCAGAGCAGGACTGTCACCAACAAAAAATCAGGGCAGCCATGGCTTTGTCCATCTGAGGCTTGGCAACCTCCGAGAATGGAGATTGACACCAATGCTTGTACAGGATGACTGCATTAGAATACTTTATACTCTGGCTGCCATAAAAGTTCCACAGCATCAAGAATGGCTGTGACACTGTCGGCTGTCCAGGTGAGGGGGAAAGGGCCATGGACTGGGGAGCTTTATTACTGTGGTTTTTGTAGCTCCCACCATCCCTCTTTAAGTTCACCAGGAAAGAGCTGTGTCTGGGGAAAATAAAATGTGGCTTTAGGTGCTGCCTTCTATTGGGAAAGGGCTGGATACTACCTTTGGGCTTGGTTTCTCAAAGAAATCACACCTGAGTAGCTCAGGTTCTTAGCCAGTGTGGGAAGCACCGAGTTTGTGTCAAAACACTCGTTCTGATCCTAGTGACTTGTCTTGCTGACTGTCTGCATTTTTTTTTTGGCTGTACAGGCTGGGTGGCAGTGACGGCTCACGCAGAAGAGAATCTGCAGCTCCGAGCCTATACTCCCAAGGGCACCGCGTTGGTGGTGCGGGATCCTCCCCTTTTGCCGTACATCAGTACCATCAAAGGGGCCCGGATCCCCGGCACTGCTGCCTATAGGACCAAAAAGCCTCCCTCTCTGGTGGAAAACCTGAAAACTGCAGGGAACAGAGAGCACTTCTCATGATCTGAGCAAGGTAGAAGAAGACAGAATGGCCTCTGGAGAACCTTGTTGCTTATTGGTATTTGGGAGAGCTTGGACTCCTTTTTAAAAGCAGGCAGGCGTGTTTTTGAAAGCAGGCCTAGAGGGAAGTGCCTGATTCAGTGCTCCACAAGCCTTGATGCAGCTATAGAACTACAGCCAGTTTGAATGAGCTGAGTGGCTGGAACCTTGCTGTGAGAAGTGAAACACCTTCTCCTTGGGACTTGCCAGTATCTATGAGCAAATCCCTTTACCTTTTCCCTCCTGAAATGTGGGATGGAAACTCACCTGCCTGCCCTGGGCTGGCTTTCCTGCTCATAGAGTAGGTCTTCTCTTGCAGACATGCTCCCACAGGTCAGAAACCATTGCCTTGTTCTTGGAGGCTTTATGGTGTTTCCAGAGTTGAAAGAGCTGGAGTGAGTGGGGGCGAGCAGGGAATGTTCCAGTGTGGGTATGACTCTCCTAGTGGCTGATGGTCATTCAACAACATCAGCCAAAAATCAAGTCCTTTCAGTCCTTCAGTATCTAGGGGAGATGAGGGAGTGCAACGCCCTGCTTTTAGGCACAGGAAAGGTGAATTAATGAAAAGCAGGGTGTTCATCTGCCCAAAGAGGAAACTTTTGCAGCTCACTGCTTTGGTTTGGTTTCTGTAGCTTGTGCAGAGGTTTCTGAAACAGGGTGTAGAATAAAACTTTTTAAAAGATGCTTACTCCTTTGTATCCTTTTCAGATTGCTGACAAAGCACTCGTGTGAGCGTAAGCATCCTGCTGTCTACACAAAAGCTCCGTTGGGAAGGGCAGTGTTAGAGGAAAGGGTATCATGCCAGGTCTGACAGCCAAAGAGAGGTGAGGCTCCTGCAGCTCCATCCTGTCAGGTCCAGCCACGAGTGAGGCTGAAGATGTATTCCCAGCAGGCACAGAGCACACATACACACAACATACAGGGATGTGTCCTGTGCAATCCTAAAATGCTCTTCCCCTGCATCCTCTGATGTGTCCCACCAGCTTAGCCTAAAAGGTGACCCGGAATGCTCCATGACACACACAGCATGCTTGAGGTTGAAGGAATCTCTGGAGGTCCAACTCCCCTGCTCAAGCACAGCCATCTAAAGCTGGCTGCCCAGGGTGGTGTCTAGATGGTTTTGTACTATCTCCAAGTGGAGACTCCACAACCTTCCTGTGCAACACCTCTGCCAGTGCTTGGTCTGCCTCACAGTAGAAGTGTTTCATACTTGGAAGGAACCTCCTGTGTTTCAGTTTGTGCCCATTGCATTTGACCCAGTCACTGAGCACCACTGAAAAGAACCTGGCTCTGTCTTCTTTGCACCCTCCCTTCAGGTGTTTGTAAACATGGATGACATCCCCCCCAAGACAAAGGCTTATGGTGACGGGTTTTGCTCCTGGACAGAGGGGCTGATGGCTCTGCAAGGAGAGCCCTGAAAAGGGCCCAGACAGGGCATTTGTTCCTCGGGAGTCCTTCAGATGGCTTCCTGTCTACCAGTATGTCCCTGTGTGGCTCTAGGCTTGTGCAGATGGGCCTTTGATGGACTGGTGGCCCTGATGATGGGCCTGGGAGTAGCTGGGCAGGGCATTATTTGGGCTCCCTGTCCCACCACTCTCTGTGTGCTCCTCTGTGGGTGTGCAGCCTGGGCTGGAGAAGTTGTGTTATTTTAGATGATGCCTAAAGATGCCTCTTGGGTCTGCACTGCAGCAATCTGTAGCCACCTCAACAGGGCCAGCCTGCAAAAACCCGGGACCAGCCCCATCTTGCTGCCTGCAAGGACATTTCCAGCCAGAGCTAACCACAGGCATTGGAATTGCGCTGTCACGCAGCTACACTATGTTTTGTGCCTTGAGGAGAACCTATCTCATGCTGGTAACACGCTTTATTTAATGGTGGGAGGGGAAACAGTGGAAATCAGAAGCTTGCACCTACTTATTTTGGGGGGTTATGTGGAGCAGTCCTAGGAAAACAGGCATGGAAAAAGGCACAGCAATCGGCTGAACTGCGAGGCAGGAAAAGGGTCTGGCTGCGGTCTGTTCAAAGGAGCTTGGCAAATCCAAACCAGGCATCCCCTGTAACATTCCTCTGCTGCTGTACGGCTGGGAAAGACACAACATGAAAGGCAAACAGGTCCCCATGCGGAAAGAGTAACTGAAAGACCTGCCTCTTACAGTGGTGGTCCTCAGCCCAGGGGCTGGACATGAAAAACTGCAGCCAAGGCAAGTGTGCTGTGTGTCAGGTCCCCTGGTTTGGGGGGAAAGGAAAAGAAAAAAAAAATAAAAAATAAATAATAAAAAAAAAAGCGCCTTTCTAGAAGGACAAGTGAGCTGCACATGGGCTCAGGGGGTGCCAGAGGCATTCCCAGGAGAAAAGCCTTGCTGCCAACATGGAGATGTGCAAGGAGTGGGCACACACATCTGTGAGCCTAGTGTCCTTCTGTGTGTAACCCAGACGTGCAAGCGATGAGCTGGGGCCGTGCAGGGGCTTGAGTTGTGTGGGTGGTGAAGGGCTTTTGCAAAAGTCACGCTGTGCCAGGAGAGCAGCAGCCAGCTAGCAACAGCCCCAGCTGGGAACAAAAATGGGTGCTCCTGACAGATGTTAAACCTCGGCATGCAGGAGGTTGTAATGTGGAAGCAATTAGTGGCTGAATGAAAGCAAAGACATGCCTTTAATGAGCTCCCAGGGCTGAATTACAGCAGAGCTGAAGACCTGCTCAGAAACACTTCTCAAAGGGAGGGTTCGTGTCTGGTTTATGCCAGACAGCCTGAAAGATAAGATGATTTTTACCATGCCTGTGGACAACAGCCAACTTCATCTTAGCACAGGAGCCAAAAGCAAAGGTGCTTTGAGTCAGTGCAAAACTGAGGCATGAGGAGAGGGCTGGGAAGGTCCAGCCCCCGAGAAGGTCTGCTCTTCACGGGTGTCCCAGTGCGCACTAATGGGGTGCAATCATTTATAGCTGCTCCAGAACAGTGTATTCAGCAAAACCGTTCGTTTTGCTAGAGAACTGTCTGAAAAAACAGCTCACAGCTTCGGAGGAGGTAGTTAAAATACAGGTAAAATCCTACAGGATTGATTTGAGTGGAAGGTCCAGCCCCCGAGAAGGTCTGCTCTTCACGGGTGTCCCAGTGCGCACTAGTGGGGTGCAATCATTTATAGCTGCTCCAGAACAGTGTATTCAGCAAAACCGTTCGTTTTGCTAGAGAACTGTCTGAAAAAACAGCTCACAGCTTCGGAGGAGGTAGTTAAAATACAGGTAAAATCCTACAGGATTGATTTGAGTGTATAACAGCTAAAGCTGGCTGGCAGTGCCTTTGAGCTGGTGGGGGCTGCAGCACCTGGGGTGTTTGGTACCTGGACAGGGGTGCTCCTCAGCTTCCCAGCAAAGTGCAGAGCTGGGCCGGGGCAGCGTGGGGTGCAGAGCTGGGCAGGGCAGCACG